TGCTTCACAACCTGGTCTTCAGTTTTCAAGCCCAGATATGTAACTGGCTCTGCGCATGCAGAAATCACCAAGCTCTAAAACATGACACACATTAATGACCTTCACAAATGATGGACACATAAATCAGAAAGCATATTGGATTATTTTCAGGAAGAAATAAAGTTGACAGGTCACTGAGAGAATCTTATATAGACTTAAAGGTGTGCTGCCATGTGCATGGACCAGTGTGGAAATGGGGCAGGGTCAGCTGAAGTTTCTTAGAGAGCGGTATAATTCAGCTTTGAAACCTGGATGTCCTCTTCCTGAGTGTAGGATCAGAAAATGTAGAGCATTCATCTGAGACAAACACTTCCCTTGATGGTACTGAAAACATTGTCCAATGCTTAGATTTCTGTTTCCGACTTAATCCAATTTGCTCATGACTTCTTTCTGTATATAATTTATGATACAGATTATTTTCTTACCCTGATGTTGTGAATTAATTTTTCTGTTCTCTATTCATTTTTAAAGCATTTTTAAGGATGAGTAGCATCTGCACATAGCTAAATCACTCTGTGCTCTTCATTCCTTTAATTTGGAAAGATCAGTATTGCTTCTATAGTTGGTGATCATTTACAGTGATCCCTATATGGCCCGATGTGCTGAGCATCATAGTGTCTTCAAGGGCTGTGTCCTGGGTAGCATATGGGATACGTCGCTGTTACACTGAAGACATTTGGAAACTCTGATTAGGATGGAGGAAAAGGAACTGAAAGAAAGTTTAAAAATGGCATGGGATATGAAAGCAGACTGATTATTTTTCAAAGCAGTAATAAAGCCAATTCTCTTCTCTCTTTTTCTTGCTCTTGACCTCACAGTGGTAAAGCTAATGCTAAACTCGGTCAATGCACAAAGTAGAGTTCATTCATTTTGGGAAGGGCATAAATTACTAGGTAGGCAAATCAGGGAGCTCTCACATTCCCTAAGGCAGATGTGTGCAGTGAATTTAGTCTGGTTTTCCCTGGTTTCAGGAACACAGACTTTTTTTATGACTTTATTTTGTGATGTTAGTCAAAGCAGGGCCTGGAGGCAGGAGATAGCTTATAATGGCCCATTGTAGGGCTCTGATTTAACCATCAGAACAGAGTTGTGTGTTGCTCCTGAGTTCAAGAAAGTCGCATTTAAAATATCCTCCATTAGGCTGATCATAAGAGTGTTTCAAAGCCTGTCTCTTAAGTATATTCTTTAAGATCATTGTCTTTACAGTGCTATTTATAATATGCAAATGTTAAAACAAGCACAAGTTTGAATTATAAACCCTCGGAGAAGGGAGGACACACACTATTCCTAGCACACTCTGACAAGGTTAGCCCTGCCAAGGACGCCGATGAAGGGCTCCTGTGCTTTGCCACTATTATCATCCTCACAAGCTTACAAAATTATCTCTATATCCTAGCTTTGGGAGGAAAGGTAATTTGGCTTTTAGGGAAAAGGTACAGCAATGGATTCATCAAAAAGGGTAAAGATTCTTACACAATAAAAATACAGTACAGATGTAAATAAATTATTCAAAAATAAATTTGCCTAGAATGTCACTTCTTGTCTAAAAAATAAGTAATAAAATCATTGGAGACATTTGTAATAATTTTCCTAAGTATATTAAAAGCTTTTCTTCTTGATTCCTAAATTTATGGCTTTTAAAGGTAATGTCCCAAAGGCATCATTTTTATGACACCAAAAATGAAAAAGATGGGAGGTTATCACTGAACAGCAGAGGTTCTACTTGGCCTGCTGCAAGGAGGGAACAGGGGAGGCTGTCAGATCTGATAGCAGATTACTGGACAGAGTGTTGAATTTTGTTTCTTATGGCGATCTTTTACATTTGACAAATTCTTCTCCATTTCAAGATGATTTAAACAAACAGTTATGAAGGAGATCGGAGCTTTTAAATCGAAGTTGAAAACTGTCTCTACTGCCAGGAGTGCAAGTACCTTGCAGTGAATGTACACACAAATAATCAGATGCATTGTGTACACGTTTCAGTGCTTTTGCTTTCTGGCAGTCTCTTCTGGAGAAGCAAAGTAGTGGAAAAGAGGGAGAGGTAGGAAAGCTGCAGTTCACCCAGTGTCATAGGTCTGTCTGCTACGTTCCAGTCTTCTGAGCTGTTCATTATGCCCAGGTTTTTTACTCTAGAATGGAAGCTTCATGTGTGAAGGAACCCCCACCTCATTTTTTCACTTATATATCTCAACTGTCTAGGAAGTACCGCACACGTAGTAAGACTTCACTTTATATATATTGATAAATAAATCCACAAAATGAGATTAATCAGAACAGCTGCTTTGTACTTGGAATGAGTGTTTTGGAGTGGCAATCAGACAAAGGGATTTAAACCCTCTTGAAAAAATATTCTTATGTAGATCCAAAGTGACAGCATGGTCCAGCGGTGATGAACCTATAGTACATGAGTCCTTGGTGTTTATATCATTGAAAGCTCTGAAAGGTTTGCCACCACTGTTAGTGTCTTTATTTTACTGCCTACACAGCCTTCCAAATCAAAATCACCAAAATCATCAAAGTCAGCGGGACCTGATGTCTATTCAGAACTGGTAGGACACCAAGTCTCAGACTTACTGATCAGCCTTGGTGTGGCCTCAGCTCTCCACCGTCACATGGAGCGGAACAGCCTAGCTCTAGGATAATGAATCCTGGTTTTAACACTAGTTAAAAGGCCTTGGCCATGTTATTTGGCCTTTGATGATATGATTTCCTAAAAATGGGGCCACAAAAAATACCAACTCTGGGCTGGGGATATCAGTCCATGGCACAAGAGCCTGTGTGGCAAGCACAAGGTCCAGAGTTTGAGTCCCGGTACCACAAAACAAAACAAAGCAAAACAGAAAAACCCCACAAACTAGGAATACCAACTCAAGGAATTGCAAGGATTAAGTGAAATAATTAATGTACAGGTTGTTGCAGGGTACAGCATGCGAATGACGCTCCATACATGTTAACTTACACTGCCTTGACAGCCAAGAATTTCTGCTCAGTTCATTCTTTCTTTCTGACTCATTTTCTATTTGAGTGTGTGCATTAATTTCCTGAAAGTATCATTGTAGAAGCACCACACACTGGCTTGGAACACCTCAAATCTCTTTTCTCACAGTTCTGGAGGATAGAATACCAGAATCAAGGTATTGGCAAGACTGCACACTCCCTCTGACACCCGTGGAGAGGGTTTTATCTTATGTATTTTAGCTTCTAGAAGCCCCAGCCTTCCTTTGCTTGTGGCACCATAGTCGTATCCACAATCTTCTCTCTGTCTTTTTATATCTTCTTCCCTCTTTCCACATCTGTATCCAAATTTTACCTTCGATAAGTCATATTGAATTAGTACTTACCCTAATGACCCCCTTTTAACTTGATTACATTTGTGATGACACTATTTCTTAATGAGATTATACCCTGAGGTACTAGAAGTTAGAACTTCAATATATTTAGGAGGATAAAAGGGGTACAGTTCAACCAGAATAGCATGCTTCTACTTCTTTCTCTGATTATATATGCCTTTCATTTTGTACAACACCAGATTTGGAATTTTTAGATCTAAACTTAACTTTCCCAATAATTATCTGTATATAAAAAAGATACTCAAACCCCTAAGCCTGGGTTATTTCACTATAAAATAAAAGAATTGGATCAGATACTATCTACCATGTATCTCATCTCCAAAAGGTCATGTTGATAATATGTGATTCTCTTTTCTCGACCGTAATGCACACCTCAACTCTCATTGATGCTTTGTGCATTTTGCTATCACTATAATTAATAATAAAGGTTCTGATCACCACAGAAAGTCTGCAAAATAATAGATACATTAATTAGCTTCATTCAGGAATTCCACAATGAGTACATATATCAAAGCATCATTGTTACACACCATAAAATATATGTAATTTTAATAAAAAACAAACAATAAAAAGAAAACCATTCTGAAATACGATTTTCAGTTATCTTAATCCTTGGATTAAAATCTCACTGTCTGTAATGCTAGTTAATGGGATACTCCTTTGTGTCAAATGAAAGCTTTCCTACATTTAGGTTGTTAAAAATATAAAAGTAGTGTAGTGAACCATTTTTTCTTTTTCTTTTTATTTGCATTTTGGAATTTTTTCCAATGTTGCAAGCAATATATTTATATTAACATACAATGATTATATCTATTAATGAGGTTCAGGATGGCAATTCAATACATGTACAGAATATGGAATGGCCAGATCATAGTAATTAGTATTTCTACCTTCATAAGCATTTATAATTTCTTTCTCCTGGGACCTTTCAGCTCCTGTCTTCTAGTTACTTATAAAATACATAACAAATTGTTGTGAATTATAATTATAGTAGTATGCTGTAGAACATTCAAATTTACTCATCTGATATTTTGGTAAATAGTCAATTTTGTTAATGGCAAGCATCCTCTTATTGAAATAAGGTATAAAGGTTAGTGCTGTGTACCTTTTCTAACAGTAGTGTAATTCAATTTGTATAAAAATCATCAAACCAAAACTCAAGGGGTTAGGAGATACGAGACATCCTTTGATAGAAATAAGAACCATAGTATGAGGGTTTATACTTTGTACCATTTCCAGTTGTACTACAGTGCAACTTGCAGAAAATCATAAAAGCAAAGCTTAAAGGATTAGGAGAAATGAAAAATTAAATTCCACCACTGATTCACAAAAATTTGGCAGCTTTCCTGAAAGTTTGGTTAGGCTACCACTATGGAAACATTTAAAAATCTACTCTGACACAGCTAGAAAAAATAATGTAAGAAGGGAAATTCAGCGGACTTTTTGCCACCTCTGGGATGTAACATTTTAAAGTCCACAAGGCCAAAATGCGTTGTCCATAGATAGCCTCAAGTTCAATCTTGAGCCTCGCTTGAACAAAGTTAGCATTTTCTTGTCCTTGCCTGAGAACTGCTGCCCCTGTGTTCGCTCAATTGTTTCCTTGTCTTTCAGCATCCTCCATTCTCAAGAGGGAGAAGCGGCTGAGGACAAAGAATGTGCATTTCAGTTGTGTCACCGTGTACTACTTCACCAGGAGGCAGGGCTTCACGAGCGTGCCCAGTCAGGGGGGCAGCACGCTGGGCATGTCCAGCCGCCACAACAGTGTGCGCCAGTACACCCTGGGCGAGTTCGCCAGGGAGCAGGAGCGGCTGCACCGGGAGATGCTGAGAGAACACCTCAGGGAAGAGAAGCTGAACTCTTTAAAACTGAAGGTAAAAAACATGAACTCACTTCCAAAGCCTCACATCTTCATAGGAATTTGAATCAACAATTTTTACACTTACAGTCACAAATCAAGCTGTGAATTTTATGTGACACACTACTTGCTGAGCCTTTGGTTTTTGTAAAAAAAAAAAAAATAGCAAAACAGTGTCTTTTATGGATACATATCTGGCATAACGTTCTTTACTGTTGAATATTGCTAGATTTTACAACTTGTGCTTGGATTGGAGCAAGCAGGTCACCAAAAATAGTTGTGGCCCCTGCTCCACAGAAGCCTTCAGAGGTGGCTTCCTCTCTACAGACAGATAGGAAAGAAAACATTACTCAAGTTGTCAAAAATAAAATCAGAACTTTGTTCGGTGCTGTGAAGGACAGTTACAAGGTGTTATGGAAGTGTATGATAGGCTATTGATTGCCGCAGGAGGTCAGGGAATGCTTCCTTCAGGAAGTGAAATAAAAACCTAAAGAGGTAACTCGGCAAAGAACATCGGCAGGACTGTTTCAGGCATCGGGCAACGCCACAGCAGCCTTGTGCCAAGAGGAGCTGTGAGCACAAATGTATGTTTGGTTGGAGCAGAGACTAGAAGAGTAAAGCGGCATGCTGGAGGCAGGGAGGTCAACCACAGTAACAGACTGTTTTCTTCTTTATACTAAGGGTGTCAGACAGTGTCAAGAATGTTAAGCTTGGGTGGTAACGTAATATTACCTATTTCAAGCACTGTGTGGAAACGGCGGAGGCGAGGAGAGCCGTGGTAGGACAGGACATGCGCGGTTAGATGTGGTGCGGGGCAACGGCACAAGTCCATCAGAGAGGTGAGCAAGGGTTAGGCTAGACACACAGCAGGGAGATGAAGAAAGATGGAGTGAGGAAGAAATTCATTAAGTAAAACCGACAGCACTTGATGATGGCTTGGATGTGGAAGGAAGAGAGAGGGATTGCCAAGAATGCCCCCTAAATTTCTTGCTTGCAAAACTGGACAATGGTAGATAATAACGTTTGCTGCCAGAGGCAAAGAACACAGGAAGAATTGCACAGTGGGGTACACAGAATTGCACAAAGGTAGATGATGAGAGATTTTTTCAGAATACTGACTTTGGGGTTTTTTTAATTATTTACTAAGAGATGTCAGAAAGGTTACCTAGGGGGACGTGGCTACTGTTGTACCACTTTAGAGATTAAGTGAAGAGAGATACGATGCAGCAAATGTCCTTTTCTGACTGGACACACTCTTTTTATTTTTATTGGTCTATCCCATAACTCTCGAATGATAAAGGAAATACATTTTAGGTAATCAGGTACTCAACCTAAAGTGTCATTCAATAATACTGAAATATCTAGAAACACCTGTTCTACTTCAAACTTTCATTTATGAAATCAGTCTGAAGAGGTGTGATATGTTTCAAAACCACTTATTTTTATATATTTCATTGTTTTTTTAAATTTTTTTTGGTACCAGGACTTGAACTCATGACCTCAGGCTTGCCAGGCAAGCACTTATGCCACTGAACTACATCCCCAGCCCATGTTTTATAATTTACATGTGTGTTTTAGTCCCTGTTTCATGATAAGGCACTCACTTAAATTAACTGGATGGTCTCTCCCAGAGCAACTCTCATATTCCCTTTGTAGTATTTTGATAAGGTTCACAGAAAGTCTGTAAGTTTGTCCAGTAGCTATTCACTATTATAATTGTTTTTATGATTTTATGTAGTTTAAATTAGTAAAAATGATCAAATTTCCTACTGAAATCTATCCTTTGCCTTTATAATCCAGTGGAAACCAACTATAGCCTTTACTCAAAGACTGAAGTCATTCTCCAAATCCAAATATTGCTAGAACAGTAGCAGTGGCTAACAGACATTGACGTTTATTTACCAGTCATTTTATAAACAATATTTAATCCTCACAGACACCCAGTGGGATATGATGTTCTAGCAACTGGGACCATAACGCTCTCTGAGAACCAGAAGATTTACTGAGGGAATTTTGAGGCATGTTGTATATGTGCTGAGTGTTGGGCAAAGCCACAGACTACAGCAACATTTCTCCACAAGAGGCAGGGACATAGCCTACTACTATAATTTGTGGCCAATGTTTTTATTTTATTTTGTTTTGTTGGATACTGCAGAGTAAACACAGGGCCTTAGCACTGAGCTACATGCCTACTCCTTTTTTAATTTTTAAATTTTTGAGACAGGGTCTTAATTGGCAAGTTGCCCAGGATGGGCTGAAACTTGCAATCCTCCTGCCTCTGCCTGGGATTACAGGTATGTGCCACCACGTCTGATTTCCTTCCAATGTATGCTTGCACTCTCTCTCTCTCTCTGTCTCTCTTTCTGTGTGTCTCTCTCTGTCTCTCTCTCTCTGTATCTCTTTCTCTTTCTCTAACAAGCTGAACAAAAAAAGAAGAAGCAAAAAGAACGCTGTCATAGTGATTCATTTTAAAAATTGTATTGTTGGAAGTTGGAGGCAGTCATCAGAGTGGTATCATATCTTGCTTTGTTATTAGCAAGTGAAAATGTATGGTTTTCCTCTTTGGTGGATATGCAAACAATTCAGCAGTTATCATTGCTACTTCTCAATGATAATGGATAAGCTAAAGGACAACAGGATTCTGAAGTGATCTGAGGTCAGCCTCACTGTACTTAAAGTAGCCATTAACACATGTTACCTAAAATCAACAGATCACAGTAATGTGGACCAGTTTTCTGAAAACTCCAAGAGGAATTAATGGAGAAACTTGTACATTTTAATTGTGATTTTTCTAGTATGTAACATCTATGGTTTTTAAAATATCATTGATTGTATTCATCTAAGACAATTATTCCAATGCAAAATTAGCTAACAAAAACATGAGCCATCTAAAACTCTCACTCTGGGACATGAAATTTCACTTTTAATATGATATTTGTTTTGAAGTATAAATCCCATAGGGGTAGTCAACAAAATAAATGTGGTTGCATTGATTCCATTATTTTGAGTTGGGTATTAGAAGGGCAGAAGAGGGATCCAGCGAGGAAAGGAAGGGTTGCTAAAGACAATCTTTATCCACTTGGATTTTGCCTGAGATGGTCGCCTGGGAATGGCAACAAACTGCCTGTTGGGTTAGGACGGAGGGAAAGTAGCAGCTGACATGGTGAACATTTCCAGAGCCCTCTTTAGGGAAACCACATGAAACAGCACGGAAACTCACTAGACTTGGGTAGTTTTCTTTCTACTCATTTCAGAACAGTCTTAAAAAGTGAAGAGAGATTACTCACTCGCTACACCTCCATATTTTGCCAAGGCCTCTCTGCTGAGTTCCAAACAGGAGACTATTTATCCTCTGGCTCCTCTCCCAATGGGAGAGAAATATGACTAAAAAGAAACACACATGTCCACTTCTAGATGTCTCCTTATATATTTTTACAATAAATATTTTGAAGCAAATTAAAAACAGAAAATTAGAGTTTGATTATGAAATAGTTTCTTTGTAATAATTCATCTTCCAAATTATGTTACATAAAGACTGAGAAATAATATACCCAATTAGATTTGTAGCACAAATCCAATTCTGTTGGGGGACTTCAAGCGTGTCTTCCTAGTTGGTGGTGGTGATGTTTTAAACATTTTCCGTAAACAACTAATGGAGGAAACTGATTGAATAAAACACATGTCCCTCGAAGAAATAACTAGCTTTAGATTTCTTAATTACGGAGCACAGTCCTTTTTCTCTGTCAAGCCTATTCAAAGATGTCATACACTTCACAGTAATCAATGGAGTCATCTTAACTCTATACTCTTTTCCAAATTAAGTGCTTAGATTTCATCATCTGCATCACGCTGTTGAACAATTACATTAGACTGTATTCCCATTCCTCATGTATCTGTAAAATGCTTTAAGCAGCCATTCGTGTGTTCTGTTCCATCAAGGCATGGTTGTGCAGTCACCGCTGGCTTCTATTCTGCTGGATTCTACTCCCCGTCCTAGCATATGTAATCTACCTTCCACAGCTTCCACTTCCCTGTCTCCATCTCTTCACAAGTATGCTCCTCTTCTTTTCCTCTCTCAAATCAAGGATCTGCCCCTACTCCTCTGACCATTTCCAATCACATTCTAAGGTTATTCAATTTTCTGAATTTCTCAGTCATTTGTTCCTTGAGTAATTCTTGAGTTTTAATTCTCCTTTTCTTATTTAATTAGTGGTCAAATTTTGACTCATCTTTTAATGGTTCACATTTTTTAAAATCCTTATGTGAATGTTTTTACCTCAAATCTCAGATTTGTGACTGTTTGTACGGTGAGTGTCTTTCCTATGCAACAGTATTTTCCACTTCCCCCTTAGCCTTGCCACTGGTATCTTTTCAAAAGTCTTGTAATTAATACTCCAGGCAAATATATTAAATTCATAGAGCGCTATGAAGGACTAGAGGCTTCTGAGAAATTGTCAAACTGTATCTTAAATTCAGTTTTAAGAATTTTAGAAATTTAAAAAATTATTCCCACACCATAACCCTGTCCTAGATGTGTCTTAGCCTCTTGATCATATTTTGGACTGCATTTCTTCCAACAGAGCTTCTGTGTCAGGCTCTATTGAGATTATTTTGGAACATACTCAGTGTCAGAACTTGCATGATGCAGGGCTGGGGATTTAGCTCAGCGGGCAGAGAGCCTGCCTGACAAGTGCAATGTCATGAGTTTGATTCCTGGTACCAGAAAAAAAAAACAACAAAAAAATAACTTGCATGATGCATCTGTAAATGGAAGCCTGTTTCAACATCAAATGGAAAACATGGTTGTACTAAATACCTGCCCTGTCATATGTAAAAACCTATGTTGACAATTGCAGAAAAAATACACCAAACCAAAGTAGTGGAGACTAACATGGTGGGTTTTAGCTCTAGGTATATGTAAAACATTTAAGAATAATTTATTTCAAAATATTTCTGGGATCTTAGTTAAAATAGAACAATGAAGCATATTTAGTTGCATCTTTAAACTGTTACTAT